CCTCATGAAACGAGAGTTCGGGTTTCCATGAGACAATTGCTGAGGTGCTCTGGCAAGTGCAGATGCAAACTCCTAGGTGCTAGGGATGGGTGGGGGAATCTGCTGTTGTCCATGCCATGTTCACTTGGCACACATTCATATGTAGATCCAATCCATTCCTCTAGTTGTGGATTAAAACCAAACACACACACTCAAAATTGCATTTAGTTGTATGCATTTTATAAGCATTTCATATGCATCTGGGGTCACACGTGTGGTTGGGTAACTGTGATGGCCTGGGATTCAGACTTGGAGGCTGAACCTGAGGAATCCCAGCCTGCACAGGAATCCCCGCCTCCAGAACCAGCTAAGCCGGGGCTGGGGCTTGAGCCTGAAGGGTCCTCACCTGTGCTGGATTCTCAGGTGCCTTGGACCCAGCTTCAGCTTTGACAGACAGCCTCCATACCGCACCCTTGACCTCGGACTGGACTCAGACCTCGCCACACGGTTAACCCTTGGGGCCAGCACAGTAACATAAGCACCAACTGCTTAGGGCTGTGGTGTCTTCAGCCCCCTTGGTATTGTTCAACAGGGAGCTCAGCCCCCACAATACATTGGTGGGGGCCACCCTGTATTGCATATGAGCACCAGAAGTGTGGGTGTGCATGTGTGTGCATGTACAACACATGTGCATTTCATCACATACAACTGGTCTTGTTGATGGCACTAAAATTAACAAGGTCAGAAAACGCCACTCCAATGGCTGCATCCTGGCAACACTTCCAAGGTACAGCAGTGGGGAGGGGTGGCAATATCCCCAAATCCATCGTTTTCAGTTCTCCAGGTTTCACAATTTTCCAACCTTAAACCCAGTTCTCTAAATTTCAGCCGCAATTTGTGATTAAAAGAACAAGAAAATCTTCCCAAAAATTCACAGCATTTTCATGTGAATTCCTCCTGGTATTTTTGTATGCAGGTTTCACGTACACATTTCTGCAAGCAATTCCCCCCTAATATAATGTATCTGTTTGTATGCTATTTTCACACCTTTACCATAGTATGTACATGTTTGTACGGTACATGCCATTCGGCTAGAGAACAGCCTTGCAAAATTCAGAGAAGTGAAAATTCAAAGGATGGCTGTGTTTTGGTTCACATCTTGTTTTGAAAAGGGCAGATTTGGAATGTTCACCTTTAAACATGAACTGAATCGACTTTCTTCCCCCCTTCCTGATTCCATAGAACGGCATGCAATTGGAGTGTGCCCGTAAGTGAAAAGATTACGCAAGTTGCTTCCAGATGAGTGAGGATTCATCCTGATTTATTTGCAGGGAATTTAAATCAAGCTTTATCAGACACTTTTTCAGTGCCTTTTCCCATTACTTCCCTTATCACCAAAAAGTCTGATCATGTGGGGAAGCAGGCTTCTTGCTCAGGAGCTCCAAAACAGCTTTAATTGCAGAACCTGAATTCGCTGATATGTGACTCCAGCCCTCTCACAAAGCAGCAGCCTTCTTCTGGAAATACCCACAGACTCCTTGCATTTGAATGGGTGAGGAAGAGCTCTCCTGCCTTCTTCAGCACATCAAAGACTGTTAACTGAAGTGTTTCCTGCCTATGCAAATGCTGCCTCTGATCCCTTTTTATATCATAAAACATTTCACAGGAGGAAGGCAGTCTTGGGCACCCACAGAAAAATGATAGGCCTCCAAGGAAGTTTAAAGAGGAGGAGTGCCTCTCGTGCAGAGAGAGAAGCGAAATCCCCTCCTTAGGGGGAGACTCAAGGCAAGACCATCCTCGAGGAGCGAGGGAGAACATCAACCAGCTCAGACGCAGGGTGCTAAGAGCAGCGAGTTTCCCAACAAACAAAGACCAAATTGAGAGAAAGGGGGGAATCTGAAGCAAAAGGCATCTCAATGGCAATCTGAGTTGAAGGGCTCAGTAGGGAACCTCACTAGGAACCTTGACAAATGTGACTCAAATAACTGTGATCTTTAATGCACGCTCCCCCGGCAAAGATTACTGAACAATCACTGCCACCCTCCCACTAGGAAAAGTGTTCGCTCTTTAAAATAAAAAAAAAATCCCCTCTCGTTCAGCTGGGAGGTGGTATGAACACACCAGGGTGGTTTAAACTGCTTTTTAATGGTGTAAAGTGCCTTAACGCCAGCGTTTACATTTCAAGTGCTTTGCTCTCATGCCCACGCAGCCCTTGCAGGTCTGGTGCAGTGTTTTTCAGAATGTGTGCCAGGAAACTCAGGAGTTCCTTAGTTCCTTCCTTTATCTCTACCCCTCCCCTCTCTCTCACACACACACATCAACACATCCATGCACACATTCTCTGTCTCCCCCCCCCCTTATTATCAACAAGAAGACAACAGTGACATTGTAGATAAGTACCACTTAAGGCCATGTTGTGACTCAAATGCAGGGGTACAGAACCTCAGGTGGGGGGGGGGAAATGCATCCCTCTGGACTTTTTAGCTGGCCCTCAGAAATCTTCCCAAGCCATGTCCCTCAACTGGCGCTGCTAACACCCAAAGTATTTTTCTTGGTTAGCCTGAGTCCTTCTTCTGGTGGTCATGCAAGAAGATCCAGGAATTGGAGGGGGGGGGACACACCTTTTACAAAATGGAACTTATTGCAGGTCAGATATTAGACTCATATCCCATGATGACGATGCTGTTATCCATATTTGATGAAGGAAGTCAACATGTTACAAATAAGGACCTAATAAAGCTCTTACTATTGCTTGACAATACAGTAGTACCTCAGTTTATGAACTTAATCAGTTCTGGAAGTCCATTCTTAAACTGAAACCATTCTTAAACCGAGGCGCTCTTTCCCTAATGAGGCCTCCCGCTGCCAGTGCCTTTCCACCGTTCGGATTCCATTCTTAGACCAAGGTAAAGTTCTCAAACTGGGACACTACTTCCGGTTTTGCGGAGTTTGTAAACCGAATTGTTCTTAAACTGGACTGTTCTTAAACCAAGGTACCACTGTACCTAGAAGGTGGAAGAATTTAGGAGACTGTTTGCTATTTGAATGGTACCAGCAAACAATTGCATTCATGGAAAAGCTGGCGCAAGAGGTGAAAGACGGGAACAATTTTTTAAAGACACAAGGAAAGCTTCAAACGACATGGTATCTCTTTATTAAATATGTAGCCCAATGGGAAATCAGACACCCCTGGGCTGGCTCACAGAGGGCAGGTCTTTGCTCCTCTCTGAGCAGAAGGGAAATGAACATAGGCTGACATTAAATGAAATCTTAGCATGTTTAAGGGTGTGTGTTCAATATACAAAGCCACTTCCACCTTAAGGAGGATGTGGGGTTGTGGGCTTCACAGCCCCTCCACGTGCCCAGGGGGTGGGAAGCTTGCCCCTGCATGATTGAGGGATTCCCGGCTGCGTCACCCCCGGCTGGCCAATTGGGTTGCTCTGGGGGTGTGGCCTGCCCCTTAAAGACAGAATGCAGCCAGGGATCTCCTTCTTTGTCCACCTGCCAGCTGCTCTGGTTTTCCCACCCTCCTGCCCTCTAAGGTCTTTGACCTTGCTATGGACCTTGGTTGGTCACCGCTGAGGGGCCTGGTAGGAATTTTTCCACTTGGCAAATTGGCACCAGCCACTTGGTTTTCGCCTACCTCATAGTATTGGTGGTTAGGCATTGGAATAGTTCTGTAGATGGAAAGAGGGGAGGTAGCGCCATCACCTGCCCTGCATATTGAAGGGTAGTCCATTAATGGATTCCAGGGGGCGTGGCCCTGTCCAAAGCCTAGGGAGGTTAGGGCTTAAGGCATGCCCCCTAGCGGTGACCCCGGGGGAGCTCCTAGTTGATGTGCAGCAGCAGGACTCCCCCTACTGGTGGTTAACCCTTCCCGGACTTCAAGCAGACGGGCTGGAGTCAGATATAGACAGTTAGGTCCAATGCCTAAGCCAATACCACTCTTCACCTGTAACCAATAAAGTTGTGGCCTTTTTTAGCCCATTAACCTTAATAATTGTGTTGTGTGTCATTATTCTACCTGGGAGGGTCGGGAACTCGCCATGCAACAGGCTGTGCCATTGCAAACAGGAACTAGGCAGGACGAGCATGTAGTTTCTCATACATTGTGGATTTTTGTTGGGATATTTACTGAGATCCTTTTGCAGGCACCATAGGAGGTGCACACTGGCACCCAAAGGAACCAGGTTCATGCCCACAGGGCAGGAGAGGAGACTTGGATGGGCAGACTGCCATGCTTTCAAGGTAATCAGTCATTTAGACCACAGTTTTGTGCCTATGCATACAGACAAAAATCAACTTACATCGCTTCAACAAAATGGTCTGGATCAGGGTAGAACTTGCATCTCTCTTTACATCCCAAATACCTCCAAATAATTAGTTATAAGGGGGTCTCCTTTGCCTCCATTTCCAGGGCCTAATTTAGGTGCTTTATCAAAATGATTTAAAATGGCTCTCTCATGAGGAAGCCGTATTTCAAAGCTTTTATTTATCGGGCTCTTCCAAAAGTGTGTGTTTTAATGCACATCCTGACTTTTTGCCAAAGCTGTCCGTCGAAACGTTTGAGACTGGAGCGGCCCTTTCCTGGGGAGTTATATTTATGAGATTGTTCATATTAATACAGACCAATTCATCAAAATAAATCTTTCCCAGAGGCTTATAAATCTCTCCCCCAACACCCCCAGCCAGTAGAATTCCCCCAACCAACAGCTACACTCTGGACAGTGTCCTTACCTGGTAAACTTCAGCCAAAGTATTGCAAATAGAAATAGTTAGTGTCAGAACTTGGCTGGGGAAAACTCAGTCTTTACTGCTGGTGGGTGGTGGTTTCCTGCTGCAGCTTTTGCTTAACTGTCATGATATTATTATTTTCTTGGAGTTTTATTTTGATACGAAGTTTTAAAATACTCCAGTAATTCTTTTCCAGTGGTGCAGAAAATATATTTTAAGAACCTAAGAAGAACTCTGGCAGATCAGGTCTGTAGCCCATTTAGTCCAGCATTCTGTTCTCACTGTGGCCAACCAGATTTTATTTATTTTATTCTTTTATTAAATTTCTAGACCACTCTTCATCCGAGGATCACAGGGCAGTTTACAATAGAAAAACACAAAAATACCATACCAAAGTAACAAACCCACCCAGTTTAAGAGACCAGATGACTCTGGGAAGTCTGCAAACTGAGCATGAGCACAACAACATTCCCTGCCCCCTCCTGTGGTTTCCAGCAACTGGTGTCAGAAGTGTTGTTGTCTCCAACACAATCTCTGGTTCTTTGTGCTTGAGTCTTCTTCCCCCTCCTTGCTGTAGTATTGGCACTGGACTGTCTCCTGGCCTTCCTTCTGAATCCAGCTTTGGACCTTGACTACTCTCTGTACTTGACCCTCTGGCTTGTTGAAATTATGCTGCTCCTTGAACCCTGCCCTCTTGGCTAAGTGTTTTGTTAAAAGGCTCTTTTCCCCCTCCTTGGCCTGAAATCCTTGACCAAGGGTGAAGAACCGTCTTGGCTCCACAGGTCAGAACCTTAGTGACCTGTCAGTCGCACAATGTCATAATGGTGCTACATGTCTGACAGGTGGGTGGTCCAGCTGGGTGAAAATATCACTCCAAGCTGCTCTGAGCTCTGACTGGGCCACTGAGTGGCTGGCCAGTGGCCAGTAGGACAGAAAGCCTCATTGATTTGTTCCATAACATTCAATGGGAGCTGAGACAGAATGCAGGCTGGGGGGTTGTCCCTACTCCCTTTCTACAAGCGTACCTTCAGCCTGCTCCACCAATAACTATGTTATCACTAAGGCTGAACCTAGCCTGAAAACCTGTGCTGTCCAACTATTAAGTGGGTTTGAACCCTTGCTGTGTTTAAATTAGGTGCTGGTAAACATTGTTTAAAGAATTAAACACTAAAGAAATCAATCATAATTCAATTTCTTCTTATTATTATTTTTAGTGTGCATTCGATGATGAATGACAAGATGTACTTTCACAAGCGATTGAAGCATATAACCAAAAAAAGCACAATACATTCCCTCTTTTCCTTAATGGCATAGGCTAAATTATCCATTACATGTGGAGGCAGCATAAAAGCCATTCTGAGCATCGAGCGGTGGATCAAAGAGAGGGGCGATAACTTGTCCACAGGAGAAAGCCACGCCTCTCAAAGTCTGAGAACAAGGATAAGCAGTCTGCATTTTAACTACCTCTCCAGGACTTAAAACAGTCTGCAAAGTCTCCTACTGCGGTGAGTGTCAAATACTAGCTACAAAGATCTTCTTTGCCCACTTTGCTTTTCTATTACAAATGACATTTTCCTCACCAGTTTCAGGTGAATTGAAGTGAGCTGTGTGTTTTTTAAAAAAAAAGAAGAAGAAGGAAAGAAGGAAAGAAAGAAAGAAAGAAAGAAAGAAAGAAAGAAAGAAAGAAAGAAGCAAATTAAATTCTGCTCAGCTCTTCCTGGAACAGAAAGTAGAGAGAATGGATTTCCAGAACATTCTGTGGTACCTCAAAACTTACTTAGCCCTGTCCAGCCCGTTACAGCTGTAGTTCCCAGACCAGTTTAATAGTCAATCCCTCTTTCCAAGAAACTCTGGGAATTATAGCTCTGTGAGAAGAATAGGAGATCTAACTTATCAAACTACAGTTAATGGCATTCTTAGGGAGAAGCCATGACTGTTTAAAGTAGTTTGATACTGCTTTAAATAAATAGTGCAAATGGGGCCTGATTGAGAGGTGGCACGATGACCCTACTGTTCCAACAATGGCATGTCTGCCCTTCTCTGCTTCCTTGGTCAGCAAAGCCACACCATCTCTCTTCTTGCACATTGCTAGGCCTCCGGAAGACCAAGCTCCTCACCCCACCACCTGACCATGCCAGGAAACATGGGTTGGAAGAACACTCTCTCCAGGTCATGCCCCAGACCAGTCCAAATGGATGTGGTGTGGAGGTGGAGGAGCCTCTCATCTCAGAGCAGGTGAGCAAACTCAAGTGAATCATCAGGGGCATGGCGGTATTGGGGCTGGGGCTGGGGAGAGCAGCTTGAGAGATTTCCAGGGCCAAAACGTTGAAAGCTCTGGCCTGATCGCTTTTGACAAGCTCATTGCGGCCCTCTCTCAATTGGAACCATTTGTGGTGCTGTATTAACGCAATGAAACCTATCCCCCAGCAAAAACAGAACCCGAAAGGTTGACACAAGAGCTGAAGGCCAAGTGAAACCAGATCTGTTTGGCGATCTCTTAAAGAAGATGGAAAGCTAATAAAACACAGCTTTTCCTTTTCTTTCTCTCCCCCCTCCCTTTTATGCCACATATTGACCATCATTCTCCACCAGGTAGAAGAGAATAACGATGTCAATCCAAAACTAATTGACTCCATCCCTTTCCACTCTGTCATGGGGGGCATTTTTCTCTGAGGGTCAGGATGTGTTAGAAAACAACTATTTCATGACCCGCCTCTAAATGTTCTGCATTCCCCCTCACTCCAATATACTGAGGAGGCTGATATTTAATGAACGGAGTCTGAGCAGCAGTTCTGTTGGATTTCAGCCAACTTGGGGGTGTTGACTGACCTCACTGATTCCGATTAGGCTGTGTGTCTGGAATTGCCATTACTGCAGCCCTTACAAAAATCTCCATTACCCTGGATATCTGTTTAAAACTTGATCTCGTACTACCTCTTGATGTAATTCCTGCATGGGAGTATATCCCCAGGGGATGCTTCTCATTACTGCTGGTGGTAATCTTATGGTTTGGGTGCTGGGTGAGATTATAACTCCTGTAACTGGCAGCATACATCTGATATAGATTATCTGTGAGAGCAGCATGGCATTCCTGCAAAGTATACAATAATCCCAAACATTATGCTGTACTGTGTGTGTGTGTGTGTGTGTGTGTGTGTGTGTGTGTGTGTATTTCTTACAGCCTGGTAGAACATCTACCTAAGCCAGTTTGGTTTGGTGATTAGAGTGTCAGATCAGGACTTGGAAGACCAGAGTTCAAATGCCCACTGAGCCATGAAGCTCACTAGGTAACCTTGGGCCAGTCACTGCCTCTCAGCCTGACCTACCTCACAGGGTTGTTGTGGAGAAAAAGGAGGGATTGCAGTGGAGTGCAATAAAAAAAAATCCACCATTTTCTTACAAGTAAAACTGGAAAAACACGCCTTGATTAAATTTTGGTAGGTGTTCCAAGGCCACAAAAAATGACCTTAAGATGCATCCCACCAGTGCCAATTGTTCTCCTTCAGCCAAAATGGACTCTGGGTGACAGATTTTTGAAAAGCCAGTCATGGCACTACAATGGTACCTTGGGTTAAGAACTTAATTCATTCTGGAGGTCCGTTCTTAACCTGAAACTGTTCTTAACCTGAAGCACCACTTTAGCTAATGGGGCCTCCCACTGCCGCCGCGCAATTTCTGTTTTCATCTTGAAGCAAAGTTCTTAACCCGAGGTACTATTTCTGGGTTAGCGGAGTCTGTAACCTGAAGCATATGTAACCTGAAGCGTCTGTAACCGGAGGTATCACTGTACAAACTAGATAGCTCAGAGCTGCAGGCTGATTTTTGCTCTATCTGGAACTCTGCAGCAAATACTTTTAAAGCTCACATTCCTCTTGCTTTCAAACATGTGCCTCCAAGCTTGTTGTAATTTAGCTTCTACACACCTCAGGAGGGGGGGAAATCACACAGGGTTGGGGGAGATCGCTTCATTCTTTTGAATTTCTTTTCCTTTCTTTCTGTTTTTTTTATGGCCTAACTTCTAAAGGAGCAGGTGGAAAGCAGGCTAAACAGACCTCCAAGGTCAGCATGGCAGAATTTCAGAGTCCAGTTAACTCATTAAGTTTAAGTGGAAAATAGGGGATGAAAGCTTCGTTTAGGAAGAATTAAGGAAATACCTAGGAATGGGTTTACAAAGTGAAATATTTTCTCTCAAAGCCAAAAGGTTAGCAGGTTGGTCTCTCCCATCTGTGACTGATTAAATGTGTTTGAGGGGACAGGTGGCTTTAGGAAATGTAATACTTAAAGAGCTTTTAAAATATTTTCGGCACTTTGGCCAGGTTATTGGATTCATTCTTGCCAACTCAGCAAGACGGTGTCTTGAAAGGCACCACCACCCAGCACTCATAGCTGCAGTGCTTTCTCAAAACTATCTCCTTATCAAAAATCTACAGTGCCTAGGTCAATGCTAAGGCATGGCAAATCTGACTGCTGCTTACTAACATTTATGGAAGCATTTACCATTCACAATAGTTTAACTTGGAATGGGGAAGAATTTTGGTTTGGCTCACCTTTTTACTGTGACCTTACCTAATCCCAAAAGCAATACATGGGAACTGAAACACATCTATCCATCAAAATTCACACTTCTCCTGACTCTGAGATACAATTCAAGCAAATAAATGAATACAAAAATTTGTCTATTAGGGAAAGGTGTGCATTTTTATAAGTGAAAATAGCGTAGCAAAATACATTGTATTAGGGGAAATTGCTAGCAAAAATTTGCACATTATTAATCTTGTTTATAAAACCCAATTAAAAAGAAGAAGGAATGTGCACTAAAATGGTGGCAGATGTTGTAGGGGTTTGTTTCTTTTTACAATGAGATAGGGAGAGAAACCAAAATTGACGGTTTCACCCATTCCTAAGTTTAACTCATTGGAAGGGTTGGTTCTGCTGACTTAGGCATAGCTTCATGGCAGTAAGTCCAACAGGCAATAAAGGAAGCCCGTTTCCAAGTAGGGCTGAAGCGAATTTGCTCCCATTAAGCCAGGTAAAGGTAAAGGGACCCTGACCATTAGGTCCAGTCGTGGCCGACTCTGGGGTTGCGGCGCTCATCTCGCTTTATTGGCCGAGGGAGCCGGTGTATAGCTTCCGGGTCATGTGGCCAGCATGACTAAGCCACTTCTGGCGAGCCAGAGCAGCTCATGGAAATGCCATTTAACTTCCCGCTGGAGCGGTACCTATTTATCTGCTTGCACTTTGACATGCTTTCAAACTGCTAGGTTGGCAGGAGCAGGGACCAAGCAACAGGAGCTCACCCCGTCGCAGGGATTCGAACCACCGACCTTCTGATCAGCAAGCTCTAAGCTCTGTCGTTTAACCCACAGCGCCACCTGCATCCCAGGTAGCCTTTCAATATTTGTCATCTGCATCTAACAGCTCCTGCAATTCAGTTTCAATATTTGATAATGATATTTGACAGCCAACATGTGATGCCGTCTCAGATTTGACAGTATTTGAAAGCTAGCATTCAGTAATAATGGTTGCTGGCATGCAATGGCTAGAAGAGATGTAAAACTTATACCTCGCTTTTCTATTAAAATAAACTCAATGTGGGCTACAGTGTAAAACAACAAAGACATACTTTAAAACATAACAATTGCAAGTTCAATATAACAATATCAAGACCATTAGGAACATGCCAGGCCATTGATCCATATAGCTCAATATTGTCTACAATGACTGGTAACAGCTCCCCAGGCTTTCAGCCAGGGAATTTTCCCCAGCCCTACCTGGAGAAGGAACCTGGGATGTTGTAGATGTTCTACTACTGAACTACAGCCCTTCCCTGATAATGCCTCCCATTGGCTTGCCCTCTTGCTGTCCCCAGCAGTCTAGTTTAAAGGTTGCCAAGTGATTTCACTGGGAGATGCTGACTAGTTGACTTTTTGTGGATGTCTGCTCAGAAATAAGCCCCATGGAGTACAATGAGGCTTACTGTAGCAAGTTTGCACAGGGAACCAGTGTGTGTGTAGATACGATTTGCAATATCTGTATTTTTGGGCCAAATACAGGACACATAGGGACGCGGGTGGCACTGTGGGTTAAACCACAGAGCCTAGGACTTGCCGATCAGAAGGTCAGCAGTTCGAATCCCCGCAACGGGGTGAGCTCTCATTGCTCGGTCCCTGCTCCTGCCAACCTAGCAGTTCGAAAGCACGTCAAAGTGCAAGTAGATAAATAGGTACCGCTCTGGCAGGAAGGTAAACGCCGTTTCCGTGTGCTGCTCTGGTTCACCAGAAGTGGCTTAGTCATGCTGGCCACATGACCCAGAAGCTGTACACCGGCTCCCTTGGCCAATAAATCGAGATGAGCGCCGCAACCCCAGAGTCGATCACGACTGGACCTAATGGTCAGGGGTCCCTTTACCTTTACCTTACAGATCACATGGCATACACTCTATGCATAGTTCCCTGTGCAAGCATTTTATTGTATGCGTGAAGTGTAAGCACATGTAGAAGACAGGGCCTGTGTGTGTCTCCTACTCCTTCCACAGCATGCATTGAGGGAAAAGACTGCAGGCAACATTCTGACGTAGCATGGCAGCAGTGCATACATCCAGCTTTGCCACACATAGCATAATTAGAAATTACACATCTTAATTAGAGATGTGAAAGACATTTCTGCAGAATAATAACCCAATCCAATGCTTCTGAACTGGCAGGTTGGGATACAAATCCCAGCTGGGTGATGCCCTTCTATGGATTTTACAATGCATTTTCTGTTTTTCAAGATGTGCACACACAAAAATGCATTTTACAGAAAAGCAGTCGTTTTTGCAATAGCCTTAACTGGTATGGAGTACCGTCATTTCTTTTTTTGCTGGTACCCAGGACACTTTGATCAGGATACGAGTACAGGCACCTCATTTTTTACACACACCCCGCCAAAATGAAACCAAAAAAAGCACATATAAAATATGAATTTTACTGGTGAATGTATTGAAAAGTTCAATGTCTAAATTAGCACCCCAAAACAACATCAAGAAAAGACTCCAACAATAACTTGAATATAAAAACAAACCCCCAAGTCTTGTCTGTCTTAAGCTACCCCTTTATTGGTGATACTGATGCTCTAACCTCAAAATGTGCACAGATATTTTTCTCACAGAGGGATTCCTGGCCCCCCCCTCCACCCACTGGAAACTTTCACAGTGCTGGATTACATTTTGATTTACGAGATTTTGCTAAGATGTGAATTAGCTTTCCTTACCTTTCGTAAAGCTATGCTTTACCACTCTGCACTGTTAAGGCAAAGGAACTGATTCTCCTTGAAAGGGAGCCACACATCATCACACAAAAGTTGGGCTCATTGAGTTTCTCGGAAACCGCTTTAAATCTCTCATAGGCTTATAAAACCATAGAAACGCAAGGAATTGTGGATCTTTTGTGCTGAGTTACATTACTTTGATTGAGCATGATTTTTTTTTTAAAAAAAGCGTTTGCTTCACTACCATTAAAAAAAAGAAGACAAAAATAGTCAGAAACAAATTTGCAGAGAGTAGGCTTACGTCAGCAGCATATGCGTGAAAACTAGAGTAATATAGAGAAGACTTTAAGCCTATGGTGAAATAATCCTCTGGAAGCTGTTTGTCTTACATGTTGATTGCATACAGACACAAGGAGTTGCTGCTTGAGGCCATACTGTACCATGAGTTATGTATTACTTAAGTTGTGCAGATATTCTGCACGCCACATGGGTAATTGTTGCATGTGTGTCTTTTATCAAATTGCTAAAATATATGGAAATTCCACCATAAACACAAGACTCCAAATTATATAAATACTTATATTGAACTCTGAGCCACATAATTATTTGACCTGTCCACATTCACACTGCTACATGGGTTTTGTAGTCTATTTCAAACTTGCAGGGTGATATTACATTTGGAGAATACATGTGACAAGTGGGACCTGTAGCAAAATGTTGCAGTGTGTACCTCAAACCCCTAAAGAAGTTCTCCTGTTCCAGGTTCCAGCCAGCTGGCTATGTCCTCCTCTCAGCTATTATAAGCTGCAAGAAGATAAAGCAGCCTCATTCATTATTTTCCCCCATTTCCAGTTGACACTCAACTTTCCATGGGACCTGGAGGCCACTGAGCATGCTCAGACCTCCTTGTGACAACTCAACCCCCTGGCTGAGCTTTCTGATTGGCCAGAGGCCCCTCATGACCATTCCACCACTATATAGCAGGAAACCTGTACTGAAAGGCCTGCAAACAACTGGAACTGGCTCTCCAGTCCTACCTGGAGATACCATGGTTTCAACCAGGGACTCTCTGCATGGCATGGTTGTATGAATGAAGTGTGCAGGATCTATCAGAATGAACATGCATAGCAGGGTTAATAGAATCCTGGGGTCCCTCTAGACTTCTGCTTGCATTTGTTCACGAGTTTATCCTGCCACATTAAACTGAGGCAACAATAGTGCATTAGTAGAGGATTTATACCAGACCATCTACACACCATTCTGCCTTATAAGTTGTTCTGTGATGGTTCTCTGATGTTACCACATTACAGTGGTACCTCGGGTTAAGTACTTCGTTCCGGAGGTCCGTTCTTAACCTCAAACTGTTCTTTTTTAAATATATATATATATATTTTATTAATTTTCCATACATTCATACCACATTACAATTTCTATTAAATTTTCCGTTTTTGACTTCCTTCGGCTTCTCTGCCAATCATCCAAATTCTAACTTCTTCAGTTACACATTTCCAAATTTTGCTATTGCCTTTATACCTACCCCCCACTTCTATTTTGCCTTTTTACAATATTTCTTATGCTGTTACAGAGCTTCTCTAAATGCCACTAGCGTTATTTCATTATCACTTATACATTCCCAGTATTCAACTAATTTTCCCCAGTCCTCGATGAACTTTTGATCTCGTAGATATCTGATCTTCCCAGTCAGTTTATCAAGTTCTGCATAGTCTATCAGCTTCATTCTCCACTCTTCCAACGTTGGTATTTGTTCTTGTTTCCATTAACCTCAAACTGTTCTTAACCTGAAGCACCACTTTAGCTAATGGGGCCTCCTGCTGCCGCCGCGCCGCTGAAGCACGATTTCTGTTCTCATCCTGAAGCAAAGTTCTTAACCCGAGGTACTATTTCTGGGTTAGCGGAGTCTGTAACCTGAAGCGTATGTAATCTGAAGCGTATGTAACCCGAGGTACCACTGTATTTTCATCTGGAGAGTAACTCTTGCAGTACAGAACAAAAGCAGGACAACAAAGAAGCAAAGCAACAGAACACGAGGCAGGAAAAGATGCAGAATCTCAACAGGAAGCTATGTGAAATAGGCCACTTAGAGATGAAGCAGGATGCCAACCCCCAATACCATCATGAGCAAAAAAAAATCATAATGAATGCACAATGAAATGGGCATCTGTATATTTAAAAAAGTTGATCCAGTCTGCAGCATGGCATTTGAAGCAGTCAGCTCCTCTGCGATCTGAATGACTCTTGCCATTTGTGCGTAATGGTTCTGCTGCTGGGTAGCTGCCCATGACTTTGACTGCAACTTCCTTCCCAAATGCTTGCAAATGTGTCCACACCCCGTTTTTGTTGCTGTTAATTCTCCGCTCCTTTCCATGCCCCCGCTTCTTAGTTGTAGCATGAGTAATCTAATTTCTCTGCACAACGCGTTGCTGTTTGATAGACAGGTTGCCAAGGGACATTTCATGTGTCAGCATCAGTGAAAATGACTTTTGAAGAAAGCTCACACCCTATCACTAGCGTGGAATCCAAATTGCCATAGAGCTTCTGCAGCCATGAGTACCCCGCGCTTCGCTCCCAGATAATGTATTCCATTGCCTCTGGCAGAGAAAAAATCAGTGAGAATCTCTATTGAATACTGATATCAGCTGGGAAGCAGAATGCAGGGAGGGAATCCATAATTAGGAATATTCAGATGTTGTACAATCACTTTTATTAGTACCTTGAACAACAACACAGGAGTGCAGATCCGAACATTAGGGATGTATAGAGGCATCGTTTTCCATTTCATGACAGAACTGTTTCCATTCCACTGCAGTTCACCCTCCACCAAAAGCTATATCATTTGTCTTTCTGTCTGCTGTGGCAATTTTTTGTAAGTTGCATGATTAACTATGTGGTCATTATATTATTCTACCCCATTTCATTTCAATGCAAAGGAATAGAGGGGATGCTCATCAAATTTGCAGATTACATCGAACTTGGAAGCATTAGCAAATATCACAGAAGATAGAATCAGGATTCAAGATTATCTTAATAGAGTAGATAGCCTGGCCAAAAGTAATAGAATGAATTTCCACAGGGACAAATGTAAGGTTCTACACTTAGGTAGAAGTGTAGGGAAGTGTATCCCTACAAACTGAGGGATAACCAGATGCACAAATATAGGATGGGGGACACCTGGCTTGACCGCATTACACATGAGAAGGATCTTAGTAGACCACAAGCTTAGCATGAGTCAACAGTGTGATGCAGCAGGAAAAATAGCTAATGCCATTCTAGGCTGCATCTACAGAAATATAGTGTCCAGATCAAGGGAATTATTAGTTCTAGTCTATTCTGTCTTGGTCAGACCCTCCCAACCCCATAGTACTGTGCTGGGTATCACGGTTTAAGAAGGTTATTGAGCTGGAACATGTGCAAAGGAGGGCAACCAAAATGATCAAGGGTCTGGAAACCAAGCCTTATGAGGAACATTTGAAGAAGTTGGCTATGTTGAACCTGGAGAAGAGAAAACTGAGAGGTGATATGATAGCCATCTTCAAATAACTGAACCGCTGTCACATGGGAGAGGGAGCAAGCTTGTTTTCTGCTACACAAGAGGGAAGAACTCAAATGACAAGAATGGCGATTCCAATGCAATATTAGGAAGAACTTTATGAAGGTAAAAGCTGTTCAGCAATGGAACAGACCACCTGAGACGGTGGTGGACTCTCCTTCATTGGAGGCTTCTAAGCAGAGGTGGGATATGAAGTGATGGACATGAGGCAGGAGTTGATAATGCAGGTGAGCTGCGCACAGGTGGGCTGCATGCAAGCTGCCGGCCAGCCCTGTGGAGCCTCCTTTTATTGACACAAATATGCAAACCAGGCAGATACATTTTGGGCTGTGACCTTCACACATCTTCCGGTCCCGAGATAGTGGGCTGGTACAAAGTTATTTTGGCACCTGTTTCCACCGCGTCATTTTCCCCTTGCACAGTGTATGACGAAGGAGACAAAAGGTCTCAGAGACAAAGGTTACAGACAGGGCACTGCAGACTACTGAGACTGCAAAGGGTTAGACAGAGGGTACGATGTTCAGACAGCTGTGGCTTGTCTGTGGGGGGGGTGCCCCGCACCCCAAGGTCATGTGTGCAGACAGACTGTTGCTGCCTGCGGGTGGGGAGTGTGCTCCCTCCGGACCCCACCCCCTACCCCGCCATCATCCCTACAGGGATGGCCATCTGTCAGGGATTATTTAGCTGTGATTCCTACATTGCAGGGGGTTAGATTAGATGACCCTTTGGGGCCCTTCCAACTCTACAATTCTAGGATTCTATACATGCTTTAATCCCCTCATCTCTCTTCTGGCAGATGATTCCCACTTGTTTCCCCGTTTTCCACAGAAGTGCAAGAACGAGCTCTGCGTCCACACCCTGCTGCTATTCATCCAGGTCTGTAAGTGTAAGTCTTTCCAAAGCGATGAAGTGACTCTTTTTTATGAAAGGGTGCATACTGTTACACTTCACTGTCGACATCTGCCATTCAGCAAGCACCACCCTATAAAAGAAACCTAAAATGTTCTGTTCCTCAATTAAAGTATAAAAGCAGAGCTGTTTGGGGAGGTTTACAAGGTGGTTATTTCTATTTACCTGACAGATTTCTGCCCTGGTTGCAGCGCAGTGCCAGATTTCATTGTTTAACTGGGAACAATTGTTTTGTGAGACTGGTATCTATGGAGAAGCAAGATATGTGCACTACATCACTGCTAAAGGTCTTCTCACCCCACCCCACTCCCCCCAAAGCAGATACAGAGTCCGCAATCTCACAAGTAATAGAATAAACGGTTCATGGATGGTCTTTGTCGAAAGCCATTTTCTCCACATTGCAATCAGTGAGAGATGATACAGCATCCGCAAGGGTCTTGTTCTGAAGGTTTTAGAGGGAGACCAGAGGCATGTGGGAAGAGGAAGAAACTGTGCAGTACCAAATCCCACACCTGCCTATTTGAGCGTTCAGCTGAACAGGAGTTCATTTCCCTCTGGTCCGCAAAGACCTCTAGAAGAAATAAAAGACATCAGCCTGGGTTAAATATTATTTCTCATTTATTTAAAGTGTTTTTACCCTCCTCGTCTGCCAAAAAGGTTCCCAGAATGGACTACAGATGCATTTTAAGAATGATATTTCTTATTATTATTATCATCATCATCATCATCATCATCATCATCATTATCATCATTATCAACTGAATGTATTGTTGTCCAATAATTTTAGATGCTCTCTAGGCAGCTCACAAACATAAAATGATAAAACACCATTTAGAACCCTCAGGGTTGCCAACTAACAGACACGACATGAAAGGGGAAAGGTATGTGGAGGGAGGAGGGCTGAAGGGAAGGCTAAGAAGGTGTCCTCATATCATGTTCAGAAATTTGACTGGACTGGCAATTGAATCTTACTTCAACAATGGGGATGGGCAACATCCTTCACTAGCTTAGGCTAGCTTGGTGGATGTGGGGGAGCTCTGATGCATCCCCTAGAGTCAAACACTTGAGGCAGCTGTCTTACTCTGTCTAATGGTAGGGCCTGCCCTGTGTCACAGCCAAGTCTGGTTCAAAGATCAAGAACCATACAAATTGAGAAATAGAGCCCGTCAACAGTTTACCCCCTGGGCAATATTTTAATGAACACTTTAGTATATGTATTAGTGTAAACATTACCTGGTGTGTGTTTTTTTAAGGTAAAAAGGTAAAGTCCAGTCAAATTTGACTATGGGTCAACTTTCAGGAGATGCCAAGGGAGCCAGCATTTGTCCACAGACAGCTTTCCAGGTCGTGTGGCCAGCATGACTGAACCACTACTGGCACACGGGACATTGGGACGAGTGCCAGAGCACACGGAAATGCCGTTTACCTTCCCACTGCAGCAGTACCTATTTATCTACTTGAACTGGAGTGTTTTCAAACTGCTAGGTTGGCAGGAGCTGGGACAGAGCAATGGGAGCTCACCCCGTTGCAGGGATTCAAACCGCTGACCGTCTGATCAGCAAGTCCTAGGCTCTGTGGTTTAGACCACAGTGCCACCTAAAGTGAGTCTGGGAACTCATTCCAAGCCCCTATGCAGGTCTGATTCCTCCCACACCTCCCACACCTGTGTCATGACCTTACTGAATAGAAGGTTACACCTGTTACACCTGTGCACTGTAGGGTTCACCTCCTTAATGCTAAGGGTAGATAATGAGTGCAGGCTAGAGATGGGCAATTCTGCCAATTTCAGTTTCTCTTTGTTTCTCTTTTTTCCTAGTCTTCAGTTCTCCACATTTCTATATCAGTTTGCAGGGGTTCTTTATTTAAAAGTCCTCATGAAAATGCATCAGCATTGCAGTGCAAATTTCTCCCAATATGCACAACTTTGTATGAAGTTTTGCCTAACGTACACATTATTATTATTTTGCAAAGCCGTGTTTCCTAATATAATTCCCCTTTGCCTGGCATTTTAATGCACACCTTGCTCCAGTATTTGCAATGGTCTACACGTTACTTGGCTGGAGCAGTGCCTTGCAAAATCCAGAAAAGTGCTCATTTCAAAGGATGGTTGTGTTTCGGTTTGCACGCTGTTGTGAAAAGTGTGAATTAGGTGAGTTTGCCTTTAAATGCAAATGGAACGGAATTTCTCCCCCATCCCTAATTAATGGACAAGAGGGGATGGGAGCATGCCTTCTCCTCCCTCTGGTCATGGGGAGCGCAGCCACTGAGGATCAAGCTGGCTTTTAGCTGCAGAGCCCAATGCCGCACTCTGTTTTCTGAGGCATGCGAGAGCTTGGCCGAAACAATATCTGGAACTGGAGGAAAGGCGGGAGGCCTCATAATATTATACAACGCATTAGAGACAATATAGCCACCATGGCATTTCCTCTGCTCTCGTTACTCTTCCATCAAATAGTTAATTTTCTGATTGAAGCTGAGAAGAAACAGCTATTATCCAGGTGCCAATTATTGCTCTTAGCACCATGTGCATTAGAAGCTGATCCTAACAGCCCCCCTATTAAATGATATTGGACTGATAGACATAGGCCATCTAAACATTAGCCCTTTGGAAATCATGGTGCTTTTTGTCTGCCCCTCTCTTTTCTTGCCTCCCCTCCCACCTTTTTGGTCTTTCTTTCTTTCTTTCTTTCTTTCTTTCTTTCTTTCTTTCTTTCTTTCCAGCCTGAAATGCTGGGCTGAGCCACCACGTTTTAGTCAATGTGATTCTAAGAACATATGAAACGGCTGTGTATCAGGCCAGATTATTTGCCCATCCAGCTAAGCAATATTGACTCTGCCTGGAAGCAGTTCTCCAGAGTCTCAGGTAAACAGCATTTCACATCGCCTGCTCCCTTTCCTTAACTGGAAATGCTAGCCATTGGATCTGGGGACCCTCTACATGCCAAGCTCAGGTGCTTGGCCTCTCCATATCTGTACCCAGTGCTATTTTTCAAGAAAAAGAGATGCCGGAACTCACCGTGACCCTTGTTGACTTATAATGGCAATGGCACCCACCTGAGAGGTGCTGGAACTGAGTTCTGGCAAGTTCTGGTTGGAAAAAAGCCCTTTCCGTACCCTCTCCAACTGTCCCTATATTCCAGGGACAGCCCCGGAATTACAAAATCCATTGTGGCTTCTACAGGGAAAGGTCTTTTGGGGTATTTGGGGTCTGAGTCATTTAGGTTTTTAAACACTCACATGAGCACTAACATTATATTCAATGTCAGGTTGTTGCTGTTGTTGTTTGTTGCTGTTGCTGTTGTTCCTATTATTGAAAGGCGAGCCCTTCTTCAATATACAGTGGTACCTCAGGTTAAGTACTTAATTCGTTCCAGAGGTCCGTTCCTAACCTGAAACTGTTCTTAACCTGAAGCATCACTTTAACTAATGGGGCCTCCTGTTGCTGCAGCGCTGCCAGAGCACAATTTCTGTTCTTATCTTGAAGCAAAGTTCTTAACCTGAAGCACTATTTCTGGGTTAGCAGAGTCTGTAACCTGAAGCGTATGTAACCCGAGGTACCACTGTACTCTTTCCACTATCGACTCATTCTGAGTGTGCCATGATGGATTGTGTCTTCCTCATCCCCACATCCCTGCCCCGTCTGTTTCTTCATTAGGAATTCTGGGAGGGGGGAAATGGTTTTTCACAGGAGGGCTGGTTTCACAGAAAGCTCATTGTTGATCTTTGGATGCCTCCGGGCCAACAATCTGTGCTACAAGTTACACTGCTTTTTCCCCCTTTTTCTTTTTTTAAAGAACACACCAAAAAATAGACAAGAATATAATACTGCTCCGAGCATCTGTAACTAGCTAATTAGGCCCTTGTGGGCAACGCAGCAGATAGGAAAATGGAAACAAACAAATATATCCTTGTACAATTGTACTTTAAAAGACCATCGTCGCCACAAAGAGGACGCTGGTAAATTTGGGAGTGTTTTGTTCTAAAGGACCTAATTGAGGCTGGCTTCGTGGTTGCTTTTGCATCCCCCCCCACACCCTTTTTCATCTAGAAACAGAGGATGTTTTTTGCCTCCAAACCTCAGCAACCTGTTAGAAGTTGATAATTAGTATGAGCTGTTAATCTAGTTTGGCTGTGATTAAGCTGCGATTGAACATGAGTGTGGTTCTTGTCAGTGAGCTGTGGGCCTGTAAGCTGGGGGGGATGTTTAACAAGCCGCCAGTTGTCTGGGGCACCCACCGGGCATTGTGGTGGCTGATCAGCATTTGCAGAACAGGGTAAGCTAGTAAACAGATCTGAAACTTTGCATCTTGGGCTGGAGGCTGAGCTCTTGGGCTGCTGGCAGCGCAGGTGAGGGGCATGTTGTTTCCATTACTGTGAGATCCTAACAAACAAGGTGAGGAAGCTGTGGCCCTCTTGTCAGGAACAGGTCAGCAATAATTCACACAGCATCAGTGAAGTTGACTCTTTATTCAAGGAAGCAAGGTCTGCTCAGGAGGCCAGGCCTAGTGAGCACAGCATCTCATCCCAGTAGATCTTGCTCCTATGAGGCAGTTGTGAGGACTGAAGATCCCATCCTTCCCACACTTGCCTAAGTCTCCGTCTTCCCCTGGTCCTTCCCAAGCAATCTGGGACTCTGCCATGTGCCTGTCTTTGCTCCTCCCTCTTCAAACCTCTTCTGGTTCTGGGAGACCATGGGGGGGAGGAATGGGTCACAGAAGGAGGGGGAGACACCTCGGCTTCTTCACCACCCTGCCTGATCTCTGCCTCTTGCCCCCCCTCTCCAACCTCTGTTCCTGACTCTGATTCTGAACTGCTCTCTGCCACAGACTCTTCCTGCTCACTAAACCCTGTTACCTCTTTAGCTTCCAACACCACCTCCTCCTCCCAGTCTTCTCTCTTGTCCCCTATTGATTTGAGGTCGAGGGGAGCTATTTTGATGTTGAGGTAAAAAGGTAAAGGTAAAGGACCCCTGGACAGTTAAGTCCAGTCAAAGGCGACTATGGGGTTGCGGCACTCATCTCGCTTTCAGACCAAGGGAGCCAGCGTTTGTCCACAGACAGCTTTCTGGGTCATGTGGCCAGCAGGACGAAATCACTTCTGGCACAACGGAACACCATGACAGAAACCAGAGCACACAGAAACGTCATTTACCTTCCCGCCGCAGCGGTACCTATTTATCTACTCGCACTGTGTGTGCTTTTGAACTGCTAGGTTGGCAGGAGCTGGGACAAAGCAATGGGAGTTCATCCCATCACAGGGATTCAAACTGCTGACCTTCTGATCAGCAAGCCCAAGAGGCTCAGTGGTTTTGATGCTGAAGGACCTGGTGACACACCCATAATAAAGAGATCATTCAGATGAACCCCCGATTAATCTGGGGGCACATTTATATGACTGGCAGAAATGTAGATGCACAAATAAGCACATTCCTGGCACCCAGAGAAGCCCATTCATAAATGGGAAAGGATGCCAGGAAAGGAAAAACTGCAAGAATCTTTTTTTTTTATGCAGTTGGAAACAAGCCTCCTGGCAAGAGACTCGAGGAAGTCAAGCTGCTTAGCTTATCAGAAAGAAGGATAAGAGGTGACTTGATTATGGGGTATAAGTACCTTCGCTAAAGGGCCCTTCAAGCAGGAGCGGAAAGCTGCTGATAGCACGAATCAAGGGACAAATTCAAATGAGAAATAAGGCAGGGCTGAAAATCAGCAGGGAGGAACCACAGGAACGGGCTTCAGAGGGGAGGAAGGACGGCTTGCTGTCATTTACAGTGCATTTCTCACATCGAGATTATTTGTCCTCCCATAAAATCAGCTTCATCAATCCAGTCATATATAAGCAGGTAAAAAAAGAGAAAGCACTTGCTAGGTCAAGTCCATGACTCATCTAGTCCAAGCAAGCCCAACTCCCAAGAGACTGCGATCTACTCCCACTATAAAAAAAACTGGCAGTGATCTACCCAAGATGGCGACTAACTGCCCAAAGTTGTTGAGCTTTTCAGGGGGGGGAGGCATCAGTTTTTCCACTCTTGCGGGGAGAGTGATCACTTCCTGCCATCCCGTGATCTACCTGGAACATCCCGGTGATCTACCAGTAGATCATGATCTACCTGTTGGACATTCCTTCTAGTCCAACATCCTGATCTCTCAGTGGCCCAAGCCGTTTTCTGGGAGAAGCCTGCAGGCAGCATGTGAGCCCAACAGTATTCTGCGCACTTATGATTCCCAGCCACTGGCGTTCAGAAGCATAATGCCACCGAGAGTGTAGACAGAACATGGCCATTGTGGCTAGTAGCCACTGATAGCCTTATTTGCCAGGAATTTGCCTGGTCCTCTTATAAAGCCATCCAAGTTGGCGGTCATCATTACTTCTTGAGGGAGCAAATTCCATAATTTAACTCTGCACTGTACTTTCTTTTGCCTGTCCTGAATTGCACAGCATTCAGTTTCTTTGGGTGTCTATGAGTTCTGATGTTATGAGAGAGAAGCATTTTTCTCTGTCCATTTTCCTCACACCATGCATGATTTTATAATACTTCTATAATGCACCCTCTCACTCACCTTTGTGCCATATGCATTTCTTCTTAGGAAAAATGTTCCGCTCTAGGGATGACTTGGATTCACTTAAATGAGTGGGTGGGCAGTGGCAGGCAAGAGGCAAGTTGCTCTGCCGTCTGAGGCCACCTCTAAACTTTGCCTAATGGGTGAGATGGTCCTGGCCATCCCCGTCATTCTTTCAGTGTGGACTAAAGACCTCCCTCTTTCAACAAGCTTTTTCCTGGCCTGCGTCTATATTGGAATTGTATTTAACAGTCTTTGGATGTTTCCGTTGTGTGTTTGCCGTTCTGCGCTTGTTCACGTGGAAAGATGGAATATATATATTAATTTAAATAATTAAATATGTACTCTGAGTGAAGGGGAGGGCCCCAAAATATTGGGGGGGGGTTGTTTGTTTTTGTTTTGTGAAATTTTATTAAAGCTTTTTCATAATAAAATAAGATAAAAGAAAGTAATTTAAATAAAACCAAAAACAGAGAGAGAGAGAGAGAGAAAACGTAGAGTCCTCTCTGAAAGGTAGTTCTTAATCCTTGTCACACAGAGGAAATAGGGACCTAGGAGCTTTCCTTTCTTCTCCCAGCCTCTCAGACTGGGAGATCTTCCCTTCCCTGCCTCTCACTCAGGGTCCTTCCACCAAACATCCACCACCTTCCTGTTTTTAATCCCTGTACTCCAATAATGACCCAAAGCTGAGGACACCAAAGAGAAAAAGAGAAAAAGAAGGGGGTGGAATGAAGAAAAAATAAGGAAAAAAGGAAACAGTATAATACAAGGAAGGAAGGAAGAAAAAAGGAACGCTGATTTTCCGTCCGTCAGTTACAAAAAAGAAATCATTCAAAACATTCACTCTGGTATGGCATCCAACTGCTCTACTTTATCATAAGCAATTTCCCCCCAGTCTTCAGACCTAAATGTCTCAAATTCATTCATTTGGGGAAACAAAACGTTATGAGAGGTGCTGTATAATAACAAAAACAAACAAAACAAACCACACTTGCTTTTTGCACTGAAAAGGTCTCTAGGCAACTTACAACCTATTTCAGAGCATACACGCAGGTAAAGCTACGTCATCATAAAAATAAACGGAATCCATTAAAATCCAAAACGGACGCCCACCCCCACCATAGCAGCAGCAAAAAGCTTCATATTTTTTAGCCCATGCTGGATATAAACTCAAATAACAGAAGAGAAATACATCGCTTCCATTTCTCCAGGCAAATATCGAGTGTGCTCCAGATTTGTTTTCAATTACTGTGCATATCCAGTTCAGGTAAAATTGGGTGCCAAATTATTTGCGCTAATGCAACCCTGGAGGAACAAGGCACTGCTTTTTGTGATAGATCCAAGTAGCCACTGGATGGCATCGTGTTGCACTTTTGTACCTGAGAGAAAGTTTTAGATGAGAGGAAACACCATCCGCTTCACTCGCCAGATTAATTCAACCTCGCTGAGATTTGGGTCAGTGTGAATTCACCCTTCCTTTAAATAATGTACAGACCTTTCTTAACTTCCTACTTATAACTGCAGCTTGCCACGCACACAATTTTGGCAAGATGGGTTTTTTATGGATTTACTGAAGCAAACCTATTACTAATCGGAGTGGATTCCTGCTCCTTAACAACACACGCTACCCGCCCATGAATTTTTTTTTAACACTAGACTGAATTGACATCATACTATTCTGATAAAATTCACTTTCTCCACCCCGTCTGTCCTGGCACTTTCAGATGATGTATTTATTGAGCATTCTTCCTGATTTGTTTGCACAGAGATTAGATGATGTTGTCTGCTTACAGAGCACTGCTGCTTAAAAATAGCAACAGTCTGGAAGTGCCCCTTGTTCCTCACTCAAAAGTTTGGGCTAGGAAGACTTTCTGGTGCTCAAAATGTTCTCCTCTGAAAGTGCTAAAATCCCCTTCATGCCTGCTTTGATCCTGCTAATTCTCAATCTCTCCCCCCTCCATACACTCTTAAATGAAGAAAGACGGGGGGGTTAGTAAAGCAGGGGGGGACCATCATCTGATGGATAAACTGGGTGATTTTAAAACTACTAAATATGGAGAAAAGGAGCCCTGGTGCTTTTCATAAATAGCCCTTTGTAGTTCTGACACCGTTGGGAAAGCCAAAGTATTGTTACTATTGCTGTTATTATTATTATTATTCTTTGCCACTTGTTAACTCGCTTGATGCCCGCTCGGGGGCTCCTGAATCAGAGTTATTGTTTGAAATAGGTTGCTGGGAGTCATTTCAGTCCTGTCTGCTGATGGTGCAGCCTTAAAGAATGCCATGGAAACAGAATCCTGAAAGGCTCACAGGGACCTATAGAGATGATGTCTTTGAGTGCCTGGTGAAGAATTCACAGACCAAACAGAACAAGAAAAACAACATTGGCTGGCATTTCGTTTTCTCCCCCTGCCCCACAATCATTTACAATGCAAATCTCTTTGTTCTTCCTCAGCCTTTCATTCTTGAAGAGGAATCCACAAGATCATCTAGGACAACTTCACCAGACTTCCTTCCTCCAGACTTCCTTTCCATCATTCCAGATGTCACTGCAGGAAAGCACCGATGAGAAGAAGGCAGCCCTTTCATCAGCACATGGGCAACTGCAAACTTGCTACTCTCATTTCAACTTGCACCTAAAAAATATCAGTCTTACAGCACAGATGGAGCTTGTTTGTTTATATGGAAATTTATAAGCTGCTTGTTCGTAAAAGTTTGCAGGCAGGGAAGAAAACATGCAAACACATAGCTAGTCCATTAAAATCTTCATAAAAGCAATATTAGGCAGCATGCTAAATACCCTCATACCAGAGTCATAGCAGAGACAGAGGGAGGTGTACATTTTGCCTCCACGACAGGGAGCCCTGGCATCTAAGGTGTGGTGGCAGGAAGCTTGGTCTAGTGGGCAGGTGGATGGAGGCAGCGGGCAAGGAGCCTATTGGAGGCTGCCCACAGCTTGGCTCTCTTCATCTACTCTCCAGGCTACCAGACATTGTGCTTGATGAGTCTCCTGGGGGGGTCCAAAAGATGGCAAATAGGACACCCTTCCACTCAGAGTTCTTCCTCTGGCCTCTGTTCACTTCTTCCCTTCCACCTTTTCTACATGGCAGGGCCTGTTTTTAATAGGCTTGGTGAAGAGCAATCAAATTGTGAAAAACCCATCCTTTTGCTTCCCACTCCCCAAAAAATCACGTCGTGATCATGCCACCTGGTCAGGTGGGATCCTGGCACATCAAACCTATTTGCCCACCCATTTAGCAGCCTCGTGAAGAAAGCAGGTTGCAGCCACGCATCCAAGCAGGCGGCGCTCACACCCTGGTTGCATGCCGAGAGTTGCCCAACTGTTGCAGCGCGGAGAACGTGGCAGTAAACAGAGCCTGCGTCAAGTTCTCCTAGGACATGCCGTACCAGCTGGGCATATGCTGCTTCTTGCTGAAGCTCCTCTTGGCAGGCCATGGAGAGCGAGAGCAGCAAGAAGTGTGATATGAACAGATGAGGCCTGCCTTACAGGGACAGGGGTGCAGGCTAGGGAAGGGGGAGAGGAATTTGATCCAGTTCATGTTCATAGGCAAAGCTGCCTAATCTGCCCTCTCTGAAAACAATATGTGGACCAAAACACAGCCTTTTTTCGAAATTCGCACGTCTCTGAATTTTGCAAGGCAGTTCTCCAGGCATGTTGTGTATACAAAATTGTATATACTGCAGCATGGTTTGCATTGAAATGCATATATTGATGAATTTAGCACACAAAAATGCATTATGTATGGGGAAATCGCTATGCAAAAATGTGTGTATTAAGCAAAATTGCATACGAACATGTGTATAGTACAAGGGTTGGGGACCTCCGGCCTGTGGGCCAAATCTGGCCCAGCACACATCCCAGTTTGGCCCATAAGACTGTTTTTATGTTTGATGTGAAGTGCGGGGCAGGTAGAGATGTGGATCAGGTGGACTCAACTGTACAGCTGATCGCTGCAGAAAACAGCTTTGCCAGTCCTATGTGATCCACCAAGCATCAGGCTGGCAATGCCCCTTGAACCGTTAGTGCCTAACAATCAGCTATTTGCTTCCTCCCACCCCGGCACTATATCCTCTTCAGTCTGTAGAACATGCAGCTTTAGAAGTGCCAGGTAACATTCGTTCCACATCTATTAGAATTCAGCCTTTCAGTGAGGCAACACTTTGAAACTCCCTGCCAATTGACATTGGGCAGTCACCCTTGCTAATGTGTCTGCCCATTTCCAATAGGCAGAGAGTGCCAGTATGTTGTAGTGGTTTGAGTGTCAGACTAGGACCTGGGAGTAAAGGTAAAGGTAAAGGGACCCCTGACCATTAGGTCCAGTCGTGATCGACTCTGGGGTTGCGGTGCTCATCTCACTTTATTGGCCAAGGGAGCCGGCGTACAGCTTCTGGGTCATGTGGCCAGCATGACTAAGCCGCTTCTGGCAAACCAGAGCAGCGCACAGAAACGGCATTTACCTTCCCACCAGAGCGGTACCTATTTATCTACTTGCACTTTGATGTGCTTTCAAGCTGCTAGGTTGGCAGGAGCAGGGACCGAGCAATGGGGATTCACGGGGATTCGAACAGCTGACCTTCTGATCGGCAAGCCCTAGGCTCAGTGGTTTAACCCACAGCGTCACCCGCATCCCTTAGGACCTGGGAGACCAGGGTTCAAATCCCCACTCTGCCATAGAGCTCACTTGGTGACCTTGAGCTGGTCACTGCCTCTCAGCCTAACCTACCTCACAGGATTGTGGTGGGTATTAAATGGGGATGTGGAGAACCATGTATTCCACTTTGAGCTCCTTGGAGAAAAAAGGTGGGGTATCCATGCAATGAAGGAAATATGTATATTCTGTTTTAGACAAGTGCTTTTAAAAAATGCATGAAAAGCATGTGAGTTCAGCCCCTATATTTGTAGACAAATGACTCCAACCTCAGCAGCAAAGTCCTGACAACAGCCCCACCCAGAACCCTCTGGGTCAGAGGGTCCTCACCCCCGACTTACAGAGCAGGTGCATATAAGCGGTTGGTGAAGCCTCTGCAGATATGTCCCACCGAATCCATTTGGCATTTTCTGTTCTCCAAGACTCGTGACATGATCAAACCAGCAAGATATCTTCAGGAAAGAGACTAAAAGCTTAGGCAGCGAGGGAAGGGGAGGAGGGGGTAGAAGATGCTTGCAGGATCTGGCATTTCTTTGGGGGGGGGCTTTTCACGATGCAAAATTGGCTGGATCTCCTCAGAATAGGGCGATGGCTCCAAAAGAACGCTAGATGGCGCTTCCTTGCCGGGAAGGTTGGTCCAGCTTACATAAGATGATTCAGCCATCACTTTTCCAGGATTGTTCAGAAGACAAGTGTGGATCTTGTTGCCCTGAGCACATGCAACCTCTCTTTCTCTCTCTCTCTCTCTGTCTCTGTCTCTCTCTCTCTCTCTCTCTGTGTGTGTGTGTGTGTGTGTGTGTGTCTGTGTGTGACCAACACACATGCCACTTACGGTTATGCCACAAACAGCCACAAAATAACCATACTTGCGTATTCCACACTGATTTCCAGTACATTCCAATAGAATACCTGAAGTATTGCTTTAAGGCTGACTGTTCAAAAAAAGCTTTTTTTGAAAAGAAAAGAAATTACTTCCCAAAGGCAGCTCTATCGCCTTCCCTTTTTCTGAATTGCTGCATCAGAAGAAAGAGATTGCGCTTCAAGCATATATATATATATACATATATATATATATATATATATATTTCCCTCTCCCCTCCTGCCTCTCAAACAGGCCTGTGTAACTTGGATAATTTCAAAATGCCATCTGGTGCCCTCAATCCGTGCACAGATTTTCCTCAGCAATGTCTGTGGGAACTGTACGTACAGATCAAAGCCAAGCTACTGTTCTGAGTGCCTCAGCAGTTTAAGAAGTGAAAGGCATTAAAGCCAGGGAATCTGGAGTCTTTTTTTTATCCTGCTGTGTGTGTTTTTTAAATATATGTGGATATTTAAAAGTAATAATGATAACAATGACTCTCTACAGCCCTTAGAATTGTGTGGAGCTGTGTCAATTTCTTGCTCACGGAAAATGAATGAGACAAATTGGGAAAATGAGGTTAAGACCCTCTGATGAATTAAAGTGTGTGTGTGTGTGTGTTTGTGTGTGCGCACACACACACACACACACACACTGTACTGTATGTTGTGGAGCATGGGAACACCCCATAAAAGATTGCATGCCTCATGGTGGCTGGTGCCCAATGTGACCAGTAGGGTGAAAAGCAGGGAGACTAACAGTAGGTGGCGCCAGAGCCAATGACAGATGAAGCTAGTTCTGATTCTGTCCCCATCCTCCTCCCTGCTGAATTCTACAAGGGCAATACTGAGACTAAAAAATGGGAAGCTGACAAGAAGTGCCCACCCCTAAACTGATATAGCTGATAGGGGCTAGCTAAGGGCAAACAGAGGTTCGTGGGGCAGCACCCTATTCTCCCTGATTGAGTTGCCTCCACTGCATGTGCCTTCCAACTGTCTCGATTCAGCTGGGACAGCCACCGTTTTCAGACCCCCAACTCTCTGTTTTCTGTAGCTGTAAAATGGAGTCAATGTCCTCCAAATGGAATAAATGCAATATGGTGAAGATACATGTAATATACAATTGGCTTGCCATTTTGTGTATGGCTTGCCTCACTGCTTTAGTCACCTGTAACCAGGGGTGTTCTTAGGAATTGAGTCCAGTGGTAGTCCTACTCAGTGTACACCTATTGAAAATAATGGACATGGGGAACTTAGGTCCATTAATTTTAATGGGTTTAGTCTACTCTGAGTATAACTTCGCTGGCTACAATTCTTTCATGTATATATATTCTATACCACCCTTACCCAAAGACCACAGGGTGGTTTACAATATAAAAATACAAACATAGTACATAATATAGTCACAAACACAATCAACAACACCCCCACCTCCCCAGCCCAGAGGATCTAAATTTGATGCCTTTTTAGATGCCTTCAGATCTCCTTCCCCTTTCATTTTTCCTCCTGTGACACATTTTCACCTGAATTGCAATAGCCCGCATGGCAGAGACCCAGACCATAACTCCTTGGAGGCAGAGCCTTCCATCACCTGCGACTTCCAGGAGATGGTTCCATTCCCTTGTCCATCCTATGTGGGTCTATGGACACAAGAGCCTGTTTTCCCTTTTCCTAAGCATCAAGGAGAGACCTATACCACCAGACTCTGTTGGCTCTTCAGGCAGAGCTCAGAGGTGAGATTTCTACAGCTAGAAGCCCCATTATTGCAAAGATGCCAACAGCACCAGCTCAGTAACTGGCCAGGATGCAGGACTCAGGCAGTGGGGCTGTTGGACCTCCAGGTAACAACTACCTAGCATTCCTATAAAACAGCCAGTTGCTCCAGGAACTTGCTGAGACAACTTGGATGCCTGACCTCAGCTGCAAGTGTGCTGTCCATGGTGCTGAACTCACGCCTCTGACTCTTGCCTTGCCTTGCTGTCCACCCTGCCACCCAACCTTAAATTTCTGACCTCCCCTTGCTGGGTCTATCGCCACACCTTGGCAGTGGATATACCTGCAGATCCTATTGCCACCATCGACCGCCAACCTGCCAGACTCTGCCCCTAGTTCCACCCATTCATACATAGGA